GTTACCACCCGTGTACCGCAGACCCGGACCAGCGCCTTGAACACCAAAAACTCCCCCAAAACCGACCTGGGGGATTGCTCCAGCTCAGGGAGCCACGCTGGCAACCCCAAACCAACCATGACCGGCACCTGGGGTCCCTGAGCCCCTTTGCTGCCTTCCCCAGCGCAAGGACCGGCTCCGTCCCTGGCATCACCCATGTCCCGGGCAGGACCTGGCTGGACCCACACAGCACGGGAGGACACAAGTGACACAGCACACGGGGACACGACTGCACCCCCGGCGAGGGGACAGAGCCCGCGGGGTCACCTCAAAGCTGAGAGGTGGCATCAGCGCAGACGGACGGCGCGGGGGGCACTTGCTGGGGACCCCAGGAGGGACACGGGCACCCAGCTGGGGGTGTCCCAACCCCCAGCCCTTGGGGAATGGGGACAGGGACAGCGCGGGGACGGGGGACGCAGGGACAGGGGGTGCTGTGCTTCTGTGCCGGGGGTAAGGCAAGGTGCTCGAGGGTACGAGGAAAGCGGCCGAGTGCAGGGGCTGGGCGAGGGCGGCGGGCTCAGTGATCAGCTCGTCGCAGATCTTGGTCAGCTCCTCGATCTCCTGGTTCTGGAAGAAACGTGGACCCTGAGGACCCCTGTGGCGGCACAGATGGGGATAACGCCCGGGCCCATCTGCTGCAGGATGGGGCGGCCGGATCCTATGCTTGCCCCTGCCAAAGCTCCTCTGTGCAGTGTTCGGGTGCTGTGAGGGTGCCAGGGCCCACCCTCCCATCCACAAGGGATGCGGGGGCTGCAACGAGACCACCGAGCTCCGGCACAGCCAAAGCACAGAGCCCTGAACCCGCAGCCACGACACCGCACACCCAGGGCACAGCCTGCATCGCCTTCCTCAGTCACGTATTTAAACCACCAACCCCAAAACACAAACAGGCAAACAAAAATACACCAAAAAACCCCACTTTCTGGGCCAAAACTCTGCAGAACGGCTCCGGGGCAGCAGAACAGAGCTGCAGGGCAGGGTGGGCTGTAGGGGGAAGCGTTCTGGGGTGGGGGTACCTTCTGCTGCAGGGCTCTCTCCAGGGACTCCACCTTCATCTGCTCCTTGCGCAGCCCTGCGTGCAGCGCCGCGCTCTCTGCCTTGGCCTTGGCGCGGACCTGAGCGATCTCCTCGTTGGCTCTGGGGGCGAGAGAGGGGACGGGGTCACGGCCGCACGGCCCCGCTCCTGCTTCCCTTCCCTTTTGGGAAACCTGAGTGAAACTGGATCAGTTCAGCTCCTCCAAGCTCCTGCGCGAGGCTCGGCTTTCTCAGAGCGAAGCTGAACCCGTTCCTCACCCCCTAAACTTGGGGTGCTGCGTCCTGGGGAGCCACCGCTCATGGACTGAGCCTCCACAGCTTCACAGCCACAAAACGAGCCCTGTCAACTCGTTCAGTGACTGGAGATGACACCGTCAACCTTGGTTTCTCCATTAAAAACACTAAGTGGAGATCACAGAGTTCTGCAAAAGGCAGCTTTTCCCCTCAGTAAGCTCCTGCCTTCCAACCCCAGGAGAACCAAAGGCAGACATGGCCCTACAAAATCTTTAGGCACCCAGAGAGCTCCTCGGCACCAGCAGCGACCCCTGCATGGCCTTACTTGTCCAATTTCTCCTCTGCATGGACTTTCAGGGCCTGGTACCGCTGCTCTTCTTGCTTGACCCGGGTTAAGTAATCCTGAGCACACTTCTTCAGAGCCTCCTCATTCTGGGGAGAAAACCAAGTAAGTTCACTGAGATGGGTCCTGTTCTGAGCATTAAAGGCTTTAAATAGAGAATGGGTGTAAATGGGGCAGGGGCGCTGCACCACGGGACAAGGGGGGCAACGCTGCACCCAGGGATGGGGGAGGAAGAGGGGACCGGGGTCAGGACCTTCTTAAAGCCCTCCAGGACCCCCTTCAGGTTTTCGTATCTCCTGAAGAGGTCGGACAGGGACCGCTCCACCGAGTTGAGGTCTGCCAGGGCCTGGTCCTTCTCCATCGTCAGCTGCTGCAGGTTCTTCTGGGACGTCATGGTCGTCCTCTGCTCGTCCTCTGCGATGGCAACAGCGGGGACGCGGTGACCGAGCGGGACAGGAGGCTCCAACCTCCCTGCCCCGCGCACCCTTACTGGGTGGCAGCACCTTACCGATCATCTGGGCAATGGTCTTCTCGTACTCGGCCACGATTTTCCTAAAAAAAACAGGAAGGGAAAACACAGGGAAAATATGGTGTAACACAGCAGGTAGAGGCAGCATTTTTAGACCGAGACCTCCCTGCAGCCGCCTGGCTCGGGCCAGCGCAGCAAATGGGATTTGATGGCTGCGACAAAGAAACCACCAGGCTCAACACAGCCCTGCACAAAGAGCCCATGTCCCACAGCACATCCCATTCTGGCGATGCTGAGCCGTATCATCCCATTACAGCCCCGGGAACCCGCCCTGATCCCAACGGGGAACACAGAGCCAGCACCGCGCTGTTCCTACCTCATCTCCAGGACCTCGTGGCGGCTCTCTTCGTATTTCCTCTTCCACTCGTTTGCCTCCACCTCCTTGGCGATGATCTAAGTGGCAGCACACACAGCACCTCGGGATGTGCTCCCCCAGGCCCGCGACACCATGGGGGAGCACACAGACCCCCGGGCACCCCCGCTGTTACCTCCTCCCTGATCAGCGTCAGCACCGCCGTCTTCTCACACTCGCTGAGCCGGATGGCGTCCAAGGGGCTCTCGCTCGTGGCCATGGGGGGCTTGTCCGGGGAGCACAGCCCAGGGCTGCCCTGGGGGGAATCACCCAGCCAGGATGCTCGTGGGACCCCAATCCCAATCTCCCTCTCTGGGGGGTCCTCCCTGCAGCTGGGGCTGTCCCAGGGACTGGGCATCCCAAAGGGGACCCACGTCAGGAGGACGAGACCCAGCTCTGCGCAGACATGTGCTCAAATCAAATGCATCTCCGCTTTTCCCGTGGTTTTTAAGTGTCTCCAGCCTGTGCTGACTGTGGGGGGGGCTGTGAGGGTCCGGGTTGCCCATCTCCATCACAAAATTTGCTCAGGTGGAGATGCTGCTGCACCAACACATCCGAATTGGTGCTGGCAGCTGCAGGGACATTTGCTGGGCTGTGCTGATCGCCCCAAAATGCACAAGGGGTGCTCACCTCACAGGACCCCAGCTCTCTGGGAAAGCTTCAAACCCACACAGGGCTCCCAGAACCCTCCTGTTTCATTACAAGGGCTGGGGTGGCTGCACCCCCATCCCTCAGTGCTCTCCCCTCAGAGCCCAGCTCCTTAGGGACCAAACCGCAGGGGAGAGCTCAGTCCCATGCCCCAGCACTGAGTCCTGTCCAGATGCGGCCCCATCTCTTCCCTTGGGGGGGCTCCAGAGCGGTGTACCCTCAAATTTAACCTTGCACCACCGCCTGCTCCTCCTTTATCAGCACAGCGCCACCCCAGCACCCATCTCCCTGGCACAGAGATCTGCTCCAGAGGAGGCAGCTTTTGGGAGCACCAACCTTTCCCCTGCCCCCTCCTCTGCTGCTCCGGTCCGAGCACGCCCGAGCCCCAGGAGCCACCCCTGGGCAGGTTTGAGTCTGGGGGAGGTTTCAGCCCTGCCTGGGTTTTGCCCCCCCATGGCATCTCCCCAAAAACGCACACGTCTGAGCCCCTGTGAGCGCCTCTGTCCCACACTGTGGTTTTGGGGTGACCCCAGCTGCGGGAGCGGGGTCTGCCCGCGCTGTCCCCAGCCCCGAGCGCGAGGTTCACTTTGCCCAACGTCCTTGCTGGGCTTAGCATCGTTAAATCTGCCTCGGGCAGCTAATTGTGCTGATGCTGCTAATCGCGCTGTCATCTGCTCGCCACCTCCAGCAGCTTTGCCCGGGGTGGGGGGGCTGAGCTGGCACGGGGTCCCCTGCAGCAGAGGGGTCTGGGGGCTCCCCG